GTGCATAACGTGGGGTGGGGACATGCACCGTGGTGCATGTATAAAAGTCAAAGGACAACTTTGCGGAGTTGGTTCTCGCCTTCTACCTCTATGTAGTTTCTGGAGATTGAACTCAGGTCCACCAATCTTGAGCAAAAAGCACCTTTGCCTGCTGAACCATCTCACCAGGCCCTTCTTCTTTTTACAAGCTCCTTCATATTCCAAGCCTTAAGTCACTGGAGAAACTGATAACTTTAAAAATACGTTTATTGTACCAGGCTGCAAGTTCAAGGCCAGCCTGGGCTACATAGCAAGGACCTGTTCCAAACTTCAGAAATAGATGGGTCCCTGAGTATAGGCACTGGCTACAAAACCTGAGTTTGATCCCCAAGACCCACATGGTAGGAGTGGACGACTCTGCACATTGTCATCCATCTCCACACATGGGCCACAGTGTGTTCACACCCACACACATGCACACACATGCACACACAATAAATAAATAAAATGTTTTCAAAGTCAGAGTAAACAAGAAGAATGCACTGGGCTAAGGTGTCACCCCAGTTAACACCCAGTCCCAACAAAGGGGGCTTGCTTGTTCCTTGAATTGAATATGGCTGCTTCCTGGCTGGCTGCACCCAGAAAGATCCCTTTGATTGCCTCTTGCTCTCCCATCATCTTCAGGCCTGCCACCACAGGTTGATATATTGGCACACGGTCTGTAGGTGGCCCTGTGAGTCCCAGAAAGTAACCACAGCTGAGTGGGAGGGGGGAATTCTGCAGATGCAGAGCTCAGGTCTAATCTTGGGCCCAGAACCTTTCTTATATAGACAGGAAATGATTGTTTTACAAATATAGCTTAAACATCCCTACTCTGAAAGTCTGAAATCCAAAATGCTTCAAAATTTAGAACTTTTGAAAACTGGCACCGGGCGGTGGTGGCGCACGCCTTTAATCCCAGCACTTGGGAGGCAGAGGCAGGCAGATTTCTGAGTTCGAGGCCAGCCTGGTCTACAAAGTGAGTTCCAGGACAGCCAGGGCTATACAGAGAAACCCTGTCTTGAAAAACAAACAAAAAAGAAAGAAAGGAAGGAAGGAAGGAAGGAAGGAAGGAAGGAAGGAAGAAAGAAAGAAAGAAAGAAAGAAAGAAAGAAAGAAAGAAAGAAAGAAAGAAAGAAAGAAAGAAAGAAAGAAAGAAAACTGGCTTTATGGTCATGTAGAACTTGATTTGGGGGGGGTTGTACTTGTATGCACGTTTGCCCCTGTGGGGGGTTGTACTTGTATGCGCGTTTGCCCCAGTGGGGCATGAAGTCGATATGAGCTGGCTTCCATGTTTGGTTTCCAGTTTACTTGCTGATGCAGGGTCTCAGTTGAACCCAGAGCTCTCCAATTCAGATGGTCTAGCTAGCTGGTTCACTGCGGGGATTTCTATCTCTGTCGCCTGTGTACAGAGATTGGTTACAGGTGGGTCACCGTGACTACCTGGCATTTACGTTTATGTGGATCCTGGGGACTCAAACTCCAGTCACACTTAAATAACAGGCACTTTTCCCTGGTAAGCTGTCTCCCAGCCCTCTGTCTAGTTTTTTGAGACAGGGTCTTACTGCCTAGCCCTCACTGCCTTGGATCTCACTATGTAGCCCAGGCTAGCTTTGGTATCGAGAATACTGATGCTTCAATCTCCCAAGGGCTGGGATTAGAGATGCGCACACCATCCACATCTTATTTTTAAGAAAAATGTTAAGTGCCATTTGAAACAGGATGTGACCATTTATGCTTTGCAAATAGCGCAGCCGGTCCTCCCAGCATTTCCGAGGCAGAGATAGGAAGATCACGAGAGGCAGGCATGGGACAGGAGAGAGAGTTCAGTGGGTAGAAGCATTTACTACACAGCAATAGGAACCTGAGTTTGGGTCCCCAGCTCCCCTGTAAAAGGCAGGCATGGCTTTGTGCACCTGCTAACCCGTTGCTGGGGAGGAGGGAGGAGAAGACAGGATTGCTGGGGCTTGCTAGCCCGCCATTGTAGCCAAAAACAAAACCAACAACAAAAACTGAGCTCCAGGTTCAGTGAGAGACCCGGCGTCTGGGGGATTAAGTGGGAAAGATAGAACAGGACACGTGCTTTCATCGTCTGGTCTCTCAACAGGCATGTACCTGCATGAATTCGTGAACACATACACTGTGTGTGCACGCACAAACACACACACACACATGCACACATACACACATGCACACACACGTGTACACAGAAAATTCCAGACTAGCTTGAACTACATAGCTACACTTGGTATTTTTTTTTTTTTTTTTGGTTTTGTCATTATTGTTTGTATAGTTCCTTT